CATCTCCTCCTCTCCTCCCCCCTCCTCCCCCCCTCCTCCCCCCCTCCCCTCCCCCTCTCTCCTCCTCTCCTCCGCTGCTCCCCCCTCCCCCTCTCCCCTCCCCTCCTCCGCTGCCCCCCCCCTGCCGGGCCGAAGCCCGGCCGCTCCTGCCGGGCAGGCCGGCGCCTGGCCCTCGGGCTCGCCGCCGGCCGCCGGCGGAGCCCCGAGGCAGGCCTCGCGGGGCGAGCGGGGGTGGGAGTCGGAGGGAGGGAGGGAGGGGGAGGGAGGGAGGGGGAGGGAGGGAGGGAGGGGAGGAGGAGGAGGGAGGAGGAGGAGGGAGGAGGAGGAGGAGGAGGAGGAGGAGGAGGAGGAGGAGGAGGAGGAGGAGGCGAGCGGAGGAGGAGGAGGGAACAAGGGAACAAGCCATGAGGCGCCAGCAAGTCTCCCGCAGACGCCTCGATGACACAGCGGCCCCGTCACCGCACCCGAGGCGCGTCGGCGCCGAGACCTCCAGCGCCGTCCACACGCGGAAATAGTAGACGTATGCGGCGGGGGGGGGAGGCGACACGACGGCGACGGGGGGGACGGGCCAAACAAAATCACTCATCAGGGGGGACCCCCTTGAGCTTGGTACCAGACTTCGGGCGCAACCCATCCCGAATGTTGGCTAGAGACCTCCTCACACCGACGGGGAGGACCCCCGAACTCGGGGGCTTGCAAATAGCCCTGAGCTTGGGCCCAAGCCTCTGGGCGCAGTAGGAGCCGCAGGCCGTGCAGAAGATGTAGGGCCCAACCTGCTCCATCACATGGCCAAGTGCGGTGACGCACTCAAACTGACACACCTCCTCCCCCTCCCGAGGCCTGGGCTCTGAGGCTAGTCCAACCTCAGGCTCAGCCGACCCACAGGAGGGCCCCGCACCAGGACCCCCAGGACCCAGGAACATAGACGCACCCGAGATAGCGGTCTGGACAGCCTCAGGCCTGGCCAGGGGGATGGCGGCAGCGTGCAGCCCGTCACTGGAAAACGCCAGGCGAGCACGCTCACGCTCGAGGGGGGAGGGGTTACACTCTCGCCCTGATCCCTGGGTCAGCCACCTTTTGGAAGACTCCGTCTTGGCTCTGGTAAGGCAGGATCGACAAACCATGAATTCACCAGATTTCCAAAAATCGTGCTCCCGGAAACGAAGGAGGGGCAAGGCGAGGTGTCGAGCGACCGCAACGTCCGCCTCACCAAGGGCCAGCAGCTGCCCCCCCCCCACCACCTCCTTATGCGCGGCATGCTGGGCAGCAGCCCAGCCAACAAACTTAGCATTGTTCCGACCCATCGCCAGCTGGTCAGCCCAATACTCGACTAACGAGTCGGCGACCTTGTGAGACCTGGCTCCAACCCTGGCGAAGACATCCGCCCACATGTTCCCAAACCACCAGGAAACAGGCCACGGATCACGCTCCAGGAATTCATCCAGGGCGAGATGGGCAGGCACCCACGCGTATGAGGGTGTCTTGGGATTAGCACGGCCCTGAGCAGCACTAAATATTGTCCTCCATATGTCAGCGTGGGCTGCTGACGCAGAGGCATGCTCCTCAGACCATTCGACCCCCTCACGCACGGCCCCCAGGAGATCAGAAACCGAAAGCCCTAAACGCGGCAGCAACTGAAGCCCCCGCAAGAGCGCATATCGTTCAGATCGACCGACCGTCTGGATAGGTCCTGGCAGAGGGCCATACGCAGCCCTAACAGGGAAACCAAAGTCTCCCATCTGCACCAGAGACCATCCACAGCGTCGGAATTCAGGCCAAGCGCCGTGCATGCCTGACCCGTCAAACTCCAGCTCTCAGGCTTCGGCCCCCAGTCACCCCAAAAGAAGGTGGGAGGTTCGGAGGACGGAGGGGGGAGCTCAGGGGGAGCTTGGGGAGCCCAATGCGAAATTTGAGCAGATGGAAGCTATCCTGCCCCAAAACATTGACTCCTTCCTCGGACAGCCGATCACGTGTTTTTTTCCAACTCTTCAGACCAGGCTGGCAGGCCGCCAGCATCATTCTGTTCAAGCAAATTCGGGCGCGCATACCAGAGATGACCAAGATCTCCAACTGCACCTCGCTGTCGGCATTCAGGATGTGGGCAGAGAGGCGTTCTCAACCATCCGCGTTGGTGTCGCGTCTGCACAGACATGTAGCCGCCAGCCCACAAGCACCGTAGAGCACCAGCGACCTGAACAGTTTGAATCGTAGTCGCCTTGCCTCCCACGGCGAGGTTGACGGCTCGCATCCACACGGTCTCATTGCTTTCGCGGTGCTCCGCTTGGTGCTCAAGAATCCTCCGCCTTTGCCAACGCTGCACCCCAAACCGAAGAAGCTTGCGAACATCCTTGGGAGGCATTCTCAACAGAGAGATGACCATGCCCGTGTCGCTGACGATGGAGATGCTGCTGGCCATGTCCCACCCCGCTCGTCGAAGAGAAAGCCACGTGGCCGCGATGGGACCTCGAACTCCCTGCCAGCCTGGATCACGTCCAAGCCATAGATCTTACAGCACTCGCCAAGAACGCTCTAGCCTGCCCATGTCCAAGCGCACACCGAACACATAGCAGGCATACATATACACCATGTTGAGCGTTGCGTCGAAGATGGGATCCATGTACTTGTCCCGCTGCGTGGCCAGATAGGCCGTGACACTGATGCCCTTGGCATGCATTCCAGCGATGACCCCAGCCGTCTGCCGTAACTGCTTCAAGTCACAATCAGGCACGCCTGAGACAGAGCTGCCATGTGCAGCACCAGCAAGCAAACCAGAGCGCCAGACGGCCCCCACCTTGGAGCCAGCAGCGGCCTGAAGAATCTTGACTCGACCCATCCTCTTCTGCAATGTGCCCAAGCGACCCTTGGCCACCGTGCGAATCACCTTGCCTCCGACCATATCATGCCCAAGATTGCGCATCTGCTTCCGTTGCGTGAGCCTCAACAGCTTCGCCCATGGAAGAAACCTCTTGAGCACTGCCCGAGTCGTGCCCACGCAACCTGACTTCACAGGCTGAACAAGTAAGCCAAGACCTCGCATGCCGCTCTTGAAAATCCTGGTGGCCTTGATCAACTCGGTCATTTCATCCAGGTCCTGGCCAACCCATTGCAAGGTGCAATCGTCGACCAACGCACGAGGGTGCACAGTGGGGCAGATCTCCTGTACACTGATCAACGTGCGAATCATGAGCACTGTGAGCAACGTGGTCGCATGTGTGCAGCCGGGAAGGATACCTTGATCCACCTCGCGCATGAACGAGGTCGAGCCAAACGCCTTCACGGCCCTCGGCATCTTATATGAGGTGACCAGCTGCCAAAGCAAACGCAAAGGATAGCCAACTTCACGCGCTTCCCGAAAGAGACTGGATACCTTCACCGTATCGAAACATTTCCACATGTCCATCATGACCGTGAGCGAGTGCTCCCCAAGGAGCTTGGACATTTCCGCCATGGCGTTGTGGAGAAACGCAGACCCCGGGGAAGAATAACCTTTCCTGCTGCCCCAAATCATCTCCGAGGGGAACCGCTTCAGCCACTGACGTGAAAGAGGACGCCGAACTCTGGCCCACACACGCACAATAGTATGAATCAGCGCCACCAGACGTGTGCTTCCACGATCCTTTGGAATGCGAGCCATCTCCGAGTGAATGCGTCCGACTGGCCATGACAGCAGATACTCGCACCTCATGAAGAACGAAGCCATCGCATCCAAGCCTTGCCGTGACAAGAAGCATAGCGACCTCGGCTGGATCTTCGAAGGTCCTGCTGCCGTCTTCCACTTGAACGATAAAACTGCCTATACCATCATGTCCGTGGTGATGTACGGTAACAAATCCCATTCACCACTATCAGACGGCAACGATATGTCACTGTCGTCGTGAACAGACCACACCTTCATCCACTTGCACATCTCACGATCTGCCAACTCATGAGGGGACAGCTTAAACCCGGCTTCGACGATCTCCTGAGTCGCCTGCAAGCGAGTGAAGCGATGCGCTCCACTGGCGCCCCTCTCAAAGGCAGAATCGACGAACCTTTTCCAACGAGCACGATCGACCTTCTCATGTGCAGCAAGCAATCTGTCATGCTCCTTCTCAATGTGGGCAGAGACCTGGTCAAACTCATCGCATGCAAGAATGGTAACCACAGGCGTAGACGTGAAGAATTCCGACACCCATGCAGGAAGAAACTTGAGCGTGCTTTCACACCCACGAACACCATGCATAAACCTCATGAGTTCCACCAGCGTTTTAGCCAGCGCAGAATGATCAGCGAGACCGTTCACAACTTTGTTCACGTCCTGCCAGACGAGGAGCTTGTCAACCAGCTTCGAGACATACTCCTTGACTCTTCGACACTGAGCAATCCAGCGAAGAGCCGCCATCCAGGCCCGTAGTACAGGTCCATGTTGCAACCGTGCCAATGGAGGTCTCCATCTGGACTGCACCACCTGGGTAACCAGAGGGCCACCGCGTCCTGAAGCCGATGCAGCCTTTGACCCATCAACAGTCAGAGACGCCCTGCAACTCAAATTCAATGCCAACCAATAACTCATCCCAAGCGAGGCTCAGGTCATCACTGGTTCGGGCGTACAAGACACGCCTCTCCACGTCCCTCCAGTCGCAAGGGAACCTCTCGCATCCGATCGGCGGGACCTTGGGAAAGGGAACAGGCTCAACGACACGACGCACCCAAGCAGGCCGATCCTCAGCAAGTATGGGAAGCACCACAGGCAGATGCACCTTCGTGTTGCTGTCATCGACCACCTGAGGCCTGCAAATACGAGTGCCCAAGTTGGCGCAAACGATGGCGTAGTCATACACACTACCAGGCTGTAAAAGCAGGCAAGTGGGTCTCGAGGGCGCCGCTACGAATCCCCGAACTCTCTCCAACCAACCAGAAGAGAGCATATCTGGAGTAAGATTCCAATCGCCCATCACAATCCAGTCACGTCCCAAGGCATTCAACACCGAAAGATACCGAGCCGTCTTGACCAGGAGTGCCTCGTTGGCCGCACTCATACCTTGTCCAGAAATGAGGTAAACAGCCACGATCACAACCCCACCTGGCACTAACCAAGAGACATCAGCAGCAGCAGTGCGACCTGGCTCAATAACATGATCAGGAAGCTCAGGCGGAGCCTTGACCACAATGTGAGTGGGAGCCAAGATCGCAACTCCACCTGACTTGCCGTCAGCCTCCGTCTGCACAGCACCTCCAAAGAAACCGTGATACCCCAGGTCTCGAACATGCGACTGCAGGGCAGGTAAGTGCTGCGATAACGTGCGATGCTCCTGCACAGCACAAATCTTGGACCTGCAAGACTCCATACAGATCTTGAACGGACCAGGGCCCTCCACGTTGACGGTAGTGATGACACCCTTCAACTTGAGGTCATGCTTGGGCCGTTCCTCGCACTCCATCTGTTCACTGACGGCATGAGAGGCAACATGGCTGAACTCCCCGCGCTGCTCTTTCAAGCTTTCCCCAGACACGTCGTCCGCCTCAGTGTCCGATGCAACACGGCTTTCAGTCGATCCTCGAGCCACACCAGGAACTCGTTCGTCGACAATAAGATTACGACCAGGGGGCTCGACCGTCCCCCTGTCGCGTCCTGATCCAGGGCTCCTACGGGGCCATCGGAGGAGGAGGAGGAGGAGGAGGAGGAGGAGGAGGAGGCGGAGGGAAGATGATGATTAGGAGGAGGAGGAGGACGAGGAGGACGAGGAGGAGGAGGAGGAGGACGAGGAGGAGGAGGAGGAGGAGGAGGAGGGGGGGGAGGAGGAGGAGGAGGAGGGGGAGGGAGGAGGAGGAGGAGGAGGAGGAGGAGGAGGAGGAGGAGGAGGAGGAGGAGGAGGAGGAGGAGCAGGATTGTAGCCGAGACGGTCCAGCACTGGAGTTCCCGAGCGACGACTTCAAGCCAGAAAGCCGGGGGGCCATGGCGCAGCCAAGGCGTCCCCCAGTGCACCCCACCCGCGCGGACCGTTCGCGAAGCGTGCGCGGGCACTGGCTGCCGCCACCGGGCCCGCGCACCGCCCGCCGCCAGCCCCACCGCGGCGTGGCGGGCAGGCCCCAGACTGGCTCGCGATCGGCTCCTGGGACACTCTTGAGAGGCTGTCTCGGGAGGCTGTCTGGGAGGGCCCCGAGAGTCTCCAGAGATGCTCCCGCGAGGCTCGCGCGAGGTTCCCGGGAGGCGCTCGCGGCGCGCCCGGGAGTGTCCTGAGAGGCTCCAGATGAGGGCGCTGAGAGGGTCACGAGAGGGCCCTGGGGCTCCCGAGAGTCTTCTGGCAGGGTCCTGATGCCGAAGCAGACCTTGGGGGATTGCTGAGTGACAGTTGCTGTGCCTATATACATTTCACGCGCGTGCGTCCCAAAGCGTGTTGTGTGACTAGGTTCCGTGAGGACAATGGACTGCCGGTGGTTTTGAAACGATGTCCCGCACCGCGACGGCGTCGCGCACGCAATCTCCAGGACCTCCTTGAGACAGATTCCGGACCATTTGTTCGCAGTCGTGGAACCCTCAAGCCAGACGCTAGTAGCGACATGGAGGGAGGAATAGCAGGAGGCGGAGGAGGAGGAGGGGGAAGTGGGAGGGAGGGACGGAAAATGAAGCATGGAGGATGGAGGAACATGTTGATGAGGGAGCTGGTGATGGCGATGGCTACGGTGATAATGGTGATGACGACGACGACGATGACGGTGATGATGACGATGATGATGATGCTGATGATGATGCTGATGCTGATGATAATGCTGATGATGATGCTGATGATGCTGGTGCTGATGATGATGATGATCAGGATGATGATGATCCAGATGATTATGCTGGTGGTGACGGTGATGGTGGTGGTGGTGATGGTGATGACGACGATGATGATGACACTACTGATGATGCTGAAGATCATGGTGGTGCTGATGATGCTGTTGATGTTGATGCTGGTGATGAGGATGGTGATAATGATGTTCGTGGTGGTGACGGTGATGGTAATGATGACGATGCTGATGATGACGATATTGATGATGATCATGATTACTATGATGATGCTGATGATGGTGATGATGGTGATGATGATGATGATGATGGTGTTCTTGATGGTGATGATGATCAGGATGATGATGATCCAGATGATTATGCTGGTGGTGACGGTGATGGTGGTGGTGGTGATGGTGATGACGACGACGATGATGATGACACTACTGATGATGCTGAAGATCATGGTGGTGCTGATGATGCTGTTGATGTCGATGCTGGTGATGAGGATGGTGATGATGATGTTCGTGGTGGTGACGGTGATGGTAATGATGACGATGCTGATGATGATGATACTGATGATGATCATGATTACGATGATGATGATGATGATGGTGATGATGGTGATGATGATGATGGTGTTCTTGATGGTGATGATGATGTCCTTGATGATGGTGATGATGACGACGATGTGGCTGCAGATGCCGATGATGGTGAATGTGACGGTGATAATCATGACGATGTTGATGACGTTGATGATATTGATGATGTTGCCGATGCTCATGATTATGGTGGTGATGTCGCTGATGCTGGTGATGCTGATGACGACGACGACGTTTCTGCTGATGATGATGGTGACGATGATTATCATGCTGATGATGTTGATGCCGCTGATGATGTTGATGATGCTGATGATGATGGTGATGATGATGCTTATGCTGATGATGGTGATGGTGATGATGATGGAGATTATGGTGATGATGATGCTGATGATGATGATGAACATGATGATGATGATGATGATGATGATGATGATGATGATGATGATGATGATGGTAATGCTGATGGTGATGGTATTGATGATGATGCTGCTGATGATGATTACGATGTTGCTGCTGATGATGATGCTGGTGACGATGGTGATCGTGATGATGAGGATGCTGACGATGTTGATGATGATGGTGATGATGCTGGTGATGACGTCTGTGAGTATGATGATGGTCCTGCGTGGATATTCGTCTGCGAGCCTAAACTCTTAAGCTGAACTTCGCATTCGACTCGCTCAGGCGGGTATACAGTAACTTCCTGAAGCGCGACGATGTGACTCGTAGCTTCATCTTGGAGATACTGTTTCGCCGATGACCAAGCCGTGGTATTTCAGGTTCCTGGCCAGAAAAGCTGTCCCTGGCCAGACCCTGGAGGTTTTGACTCTCGTTTTACTTTCTGCCCTTGCTGGGCAGCTCGACTCGCTCGAATCCGCTGCGGCCCTGTACGAGGCGAGGGAGGAGGAGGAGGAGGAAGAGGAGGAGCAGCAGCAGCAGCAGCAGCACCTGAAGGAGCCCCTGGAGGGTGGCTGGTCACGATCCTGAACTGCCTTGCCGTCATCGCCCTTTCCGCTTCTTCTGGAGTCGGTCAACGTGTTCAGCATGTTCCTCACGCAACATCTCCGCTGTCTCCTTCGCATTGCCGAACAGCTGCACTACCATGTCTTGCGCTCCTTTGAGAAGCTGCTCTTGCCGCGCGGCAGTTTCCTGCTTGTCGCCGCCCATGGACTCGTAGATGTCCGCCGGCCCGAGCAAGCTCTCGCAGCCGCTGAAGTCGATGCACGAGGCGTCGCCGTTGAGCAGCTGGTCCAAGGAGATCTTACCACTGGCCGCCTCCTTCTCCTCCTCCTTGTCGGCCTGCGCGTGCATGGCCGAGCAGCTCCTTCGGCCGAGGTGCGCTTGCCCGTAAGCATGGCCTCCTCCTCCTCCTCCTCCTTCTCCTCCTCCTCCTCCTCCTGGTCTGCGACACCCTGGCGAAGGCGCCCCCAGCTTCTCGACCGCCGCGTCCAGCACCTTCCCGAGGTCCCTCCACCTGCGCTGTGCACCCGGTGCGCCCGCGCCTGGAGAGGCGGCTCCTTGGGCCAGGTTGCCTCCTTCTCCTCGAGCTCCAGCAGCTCCTCGTACTCGGCGACGGGCACCACGTCCCCCGCCTTGTGGCCAAGCGCCAAGAGCTGCTTGATCTCTTCGATCGAGGGCATCTCGTCGCCGCTCCCAAGGCGTGGCGGCGGCTGCAGCCCGACCGAGGGGGGTTCGGAGACAGCCGGCACGTTGTCGAGCTCGGCCGTCTCCTCAACGGGAACGTCCCAGGCAACGTGACAGTGGGCACAGCATCACGTGTTCCAACCATCGTTCTTGCACCCGCAACGCAATGACTTCCAATCCTTGTTCGGCCCTTTGGAGCCGTTCCTCTTCGGCTTGTTGTCTGCCCACGACACACTCGCAAGGCGATCGCCCTCCATGGCAGCATCGCCCCACGCCATGCAGGCGAGCAGAAACGAAGGGAAGACGTTGCAGACAGTGTAGGAAAGTCCTCACCCTGGGCAGGGCTGCTGATCGAGGGTCGCGCGGTTCTCTGACCAGCTCGAACGCCAACCCCGGGGAAGGCGAAGGCCCCAGGCAAGGGCTTGAGCCGAGGTGGCTACGGACTCCTCCTCCTCCTCCTCCTCCTCCCTTCCTCCTCCTCCTTCCCTCCTCCTCCTTCCCTCCTCCTCCTCCTCCTCCTCCTCCTCCTCCTCATCATCATCATCATCATCATCATCATCATCATCACCACAGGCCGCCGAGGCTCAGGCCATCGAAGGAGCAGCGGCCTCCAGCCATCGCCCTCTCGCCTTGCCCGACAGGAAGAGGGCCTCTCTGACGATACCCCGCAGACCGCCATGCCGCCAAGGTTGTGCTCCAGAGCGCGGGCGCCGCGCACCTGCTGAGCTACAGGACCTGCCCGCTGAACATGGACGAACGCATGGCACCTGACCACCAGCCAGACGACAACGCCGATGCTGCAGCACGGGACATACATGGCCCACTACGACGCGCACGAGTCCCACGCTACAGCCGCCACCCAGCCCCGACCCCAGCATCACCACCACCACCTCCACAACCAGTTCGCGAAGGACCACTGGACGCCGAGCTTCAACTTCAACATCATCACGAGCATAGAGGGCCAGCACATGCAGGATTACAACACGCTGGTCTTGAATTGCTGGGCGCTGAGCTTCAATTTCAACATCAACACGGACACGGAGGGCCAGCACTTGCAGGATTACACCACGCAGATCATGCATTGCCACCAGTGGAACAATTGCGCGCTGACCCTGAATTGCCATCTGGAACTGGTTTTCGACATGAACGGGACCCCTGCGACGAACGCCCTGATCATCAATTTCCAGCCCGACCTGACCTTTACGTACGCCCACACCACGCCACTACGAAGGCCATCACAATATTGGGATGGAACCCATTCTCGCTCAAGGGAGTTCCAGGACGTCTCGATCACATATCCGACACGTGCCGTGCTATACAGATCATGATGTACGTGGGCACCAAGGTACGCCAACGCACCACCGACGCCCCACACCATCTTGAGGACAGCCTACACCATACATGGGTCCACTTCGGATGGGGTCGG